CTTTTCATGGGAGCACAGCCGATTCGCCGCTTTCTCTTATGCACTTAAAATGCTTTGTAGAATCTCTGAAGAAAACACACTGAGCCATGAACAGGAGAGGTCAGTGGCCCCCAGGGGGTTAGGTGGCAGGGTGGTGGGAAACCTGCTGGATCTCTCTGCTCTTCCCCAGGCTCCAGTTCCCAGCTGAGCAGTAGATGGACCCCACCCTGCTCCGGACTCATTCTCACGCCCTCTCTAGGTTGGAGGGGACCAGGACGCTGGGACGCGGTGGAGTCCCAGCCCTCTGCAGCACGACGGGCCCCTAGGAGGTGACCTGTGCTCTGTGCACCTCAGGGAGGCCAAGGGAAGCCAGGAGAACAGTGGAGCCTCTTGTGAAGTGGCTTTTGGGCCACAGCTTCATGTTGAGGATAGGGGCGGGAGGGGAAGGCCAAGGTTGCTGACAGGGAACCCTTGGGCACTACTTTTCCATGTGCAAAAATGCCCCAAGCTGCTGTTTCTGTCCTCGTCAGCCAGCACCAATTGAGCACCTGCTGTATATGCAGCTCGATGCCCAGTGGACTGGCCTCTGGGAGGGCAGAAACAAACAGCACCTGCCTGTCTTCCTGCCACCACAGCCACACGCTGCTGAGCTTGCAGCCCTTGTGCTGCTTCTGAGGCCCAGGCCCGGTCTCTCTGGCTCACCTGGTGCCAGCAGTGACCTCCTGAGCCAGTGCCCATGGTGGCAACCAGCTGAGCCCCTGCAGCCTGCTGTCCAGGAAGAAGTCAGAGAGAAGCATCTCAAAGCCAGCCAGGCCTTGCCATGTAAAGGCAGGCCAGTAACTGTGCCAGGAGGGGGAAGAGGGAGAACGTTACCAGCGTGGAACCTTCTGCAGGCCTGGTACTGGGGTTTCGGGGGCCAGCTTGGCTGCTCTGTGCCCCCACTTATTTAATCCATTGCAACACTGGGTGCTGTCATGGATGTATTTTGCAGATGCGGTGGATTCTCGCAATCAGTTTCACTGTAACTGATTGATTTTGTAGGTGGGGCTTGTCTAATCAGTTCAAGCCCCAAGAACAAAAGCAGGTTTCCCAGAAGAAGGAATCCTGCTCCTCCAAGGACACCGGTCAATCAGATCAGGGCCTTCCTTGGGACCTCATTTGGCTTTAGCGACCTCCTCAGGATCTGAACTCTGGGTGCAGTCACAGGGCCATTTAGGAGCAAGGACACAACGCGGTCCACAGTGGTGCCTACCAAACCCTTACTGAATGGGAAGAAGGGCAAATTGCATGCATCTGTGTGATCATTTTTCGGGGGAGCCCCCCCAGCCAACCCAGAAGTACAGAAGCTTCTAGAAGAAAAGATCCCTGAGCTGAACCTAAAAAGCACTTCGGTGTAATGGACAGGCAGGAAATTGGGAAACTGAGGCAGGAATTGGTTCTGTAGTCTTGAAGCAGAATTTCTTTTCCTTCTGGGAAACTTCCATTTCGTTCGTACCTTCAACTGATTAGACAAAGCCCACCCACCCTTGTCTCACTGACACATCAAAAGCAGAGGTTCAGTGATGCTCAGACCCTAGGGAGCTGGGAAGGGAGGAGCAGAAGACCTGAGGGCAGGGGCAGCTGGGCTCTCTCAGGAGACAGGAACCAAACGGTCAATTGGACAAGGAATCGTACATACAGGGCAGTTGGCAGTGTACAGCGTTGCTTGTATCTCTGCTAGGGTTAAAAGAACTGTAAGACCAGTGTAGGCAGCAGTGCAGGAAGCAGCTTTATTATATCTGTGTTGCTTCAGGGAGGACCCAGGGGATCGGGGCCCCAGACTCTGAGGAGGGCGCTGGGCAGCCAGCCTGAGCACAGGAAAAGCTGCAGACTGGCTGCCCTGGTTCTCTAGCGAGGCGGAGCGGCTGGAGGCTGCCTGGAAGAGTTTCTAGCAAGGGAGGTGACAGCCTGTGCTCTCTGACTGTGGCGCAGAAGGGGCGGCCGATGTGAGCTGAGACAAGACCGGGAGGACAGAATCTCCGGAGGCTGCAGGCGGGCTGACCTTTGACCTAGCCGCTGCACCGGCGTGTGACACCCAGGAGGAGAGAACTCACCCAGGCTTTGTGCACACAGCCCTAAAATGGAAACAGCTAAGCCTCATGGCCCAGATGTGGACTAGTTACGTGGCAGTACACACGCGAAACTACATATTGCACAGTAATAAAAAATTTTTTTAAAAAAAGCAGCAGACTGTGGACACCCGCAGCAGCACAGATGCACCCCAGGCCACAATGACCACCACGCGGGATTCTGATGAGCAAAGTTTGAATGTCTGTGGACAGAATCGCGCGGTGTTTGTCCCATCCGCTTAGTGTACGGTTCCGGGAGCGGACAGTGGAGCCCCGGCGAACTAACCGGGGGTGGGGATGAGCACAGTGGTTATCTCCGGAGGGGCGGAGGGTGTGGGTGAGTGGGGACACGAGGCCCTGGGGACACCCGATGCTGTCCCCGAATCAGGGGGGAGGGGAGGCAGGTCTGACGGCAGGATCTGTCACGCCGCCCAGGAACACGCGAGGGGCGTGTACGTGAGGGCCTGTGGGTCACATACACCTTACAAGGTCCTACAGAACAAGCCCAGAGCCGGGACATCACATCCCGGTGTGATCAGGGGATGGAGGCCTGGTGCACAGAAGGCCTCACTGCTGACGGAAGGAAGGAAGGAAAGAGTGTCCGCTCTCACCTCCAGGACAGCCGCCTAGTCGCCTCCTGGCAGAGAGGGAGATGGAAAATGAAACCAGACAAAACAGGTTAATCAACCACAAATAGCCATTTATGTATCCAATTTGGGGCTGTACCGGGGTGCTGGGTGGCTGTGATTACAGCACCAGCTTCTGTTTTGGTTGACAGATTAATCTGCCCAGGGTTTGGGAAGTGAGGGGGCTTCTCCATCCACCGCCCAGCCCCCGGCCCCACAGCTTCCTCTGACTTCTTGGAATAGGATGGGGGCCGCCCGATTTCCATGTAGATTACCCAGAGCTGAATGTAAATTGATGTAAATCAAGGAAACAGATCAGCAGCCACGGCCCCTCTTCTGTGCATGCGGTGGCCCGTGGCTCTCTGGGTGCCTTCCCAATCTGAGCCGGCAGCCTTCGGGGGCGGGGTGGGGGCACCGCGGAAGCCAAAGGGGTGTTCGTGGAGAGTCCTTGAGGAATAGCAATGCCCGTGACAGCCACCAGCGGTGCCACCCCCCCTCGAGTGCCTGGGACACATGGAGGAGCCTGCAACGAGGAGATGGTTACGGCTTTTATAGAGGCAATCTGTGTTCATTGCAGGAAAGCTGGGGCCTTCAGAGAAGCGAAGAGGAGAAAAGAAAATAATAACAGGCACCTACAACCCACCAGTCCCGAGTAATCAGTGGAAATTTGCAGATGTGCCTTTCGGATCTGTTGTAATGTGAGTGGAGGTGGATGTGTCTGCCTGTGAAATTTGCCTTCTAACAGTGTGTCATTGTTAACTGCTTTACTCTTGCAGCTCCATGTAGGAATCTTTTGGTGGGGGCTGGTGCTGGGGGCTGAACACAGGGCCTCCCGCATGCCGGGCAGGTGCTGAACCACTAGACCACACGTCCACCCTGATGAATCCAGAGGCTGAATCAGGATAAGTGAGATTTATCCAGAGGCAGATCTTCCATGAAACTCAAACTACCAGACAGTTCCCTTGCTCAGTGCCTCCCCAGGCCCTGTGCCTGCATTTACTTTTATGTTCTTTTGCTTAAATAGGGCTCTCACCAAGCTGTCTAATCTCTGTGCCTCACAAAACCCAATTCCATGCCCAGTTGAAGGATTGCATTCCCCAAGAAGCGATGTCGAAGACTAACCCTGGGTTTCTGTAAATGGTGCTGTTTGGAACCAGGGCCTTTGCAGATGCAATCAGGGCAAGCTGGCACCGTGATGTTGGGCTTCTCACCCCAGAATGGGTAGGAAATGCTGTACATTTCTGGCCAAGAATGGTGCACATGCCTGTAATCCCAGCATCCGGGAGGCTGAGGCAGGAGGATGGTGAAACCGAAGGCAGCCTGGGCTACATAGCAAGATACAGTCTCAAAGCAAATAGACAAGAAAATACAATTCTGCTGTAGAGACGGCTGGCTGGTGGCATTTTGTATGGCAACCTTGGGGCATTACTGTAATCAGAGACCACAGAGCTTGCTGAGCACAGGAATTCTGGGAGACTGCAGTGATTCTCAGGGTTTTGGGTGAGGGAGGTCCCAGCTCAGGGAGGGTGCAAGTTGGAGGCCACTCCCCAGGCTGCATGCATCCCTGCAGAGTGAGATTAAAAGAAAGTGAAGGCTCCACCTGGTCACTCCTCTGCACTGGCGGGAACTCCAGGTGAGAGGTACCCCCACTTTCTGGGCAGCAAAGCTAGGGAGGCTAACAGCTCCCTTAGAGCAGGGCTCAGCCTACAGGACCCTCACCTGAAGTCCGGAATCCTTCCCCTCCCACTTCCTTCCGTCCGTCCACTGTCAGACCATGTGTGCAAATCCCAGCCCTCGCTGACCAGCACTGAGGCCAGGGGCAGGGTGCAGGCTTCTTTCCCAACCCCACCAGGACCAGGGGGCACAGTGCCAGGGGACAGCACTAGGCCCTGCTCCCCACCACCTATGGCTGCACCCAGGGAAGCGTGTGCCAGGCACTCTGTGTGGCAGAGGACAGCATCTGTGCATGAAAAGAAAAGATTTCAAAGTCATGTGTTTTTTAGTAATTTTAATAGCATATGTGATACATAATAATTACATTCATCATGGGGATTAGAACACATACAGAGTGCATCTTGATTCTTTTTTTTTAGGTTTTTGAGACAGGGTCTCACTATGTAGCTGAGACTACTGAGCTGGAACTCACTATGTAGTCCAGGCTGATTTTGAATTCACAGCGATCCTCCTGTCTCAGCCTCCCGAGTGCTGGGATTACAGGTGTGCACCACCACGCCCAGTCATCTTGATTCTCTCTACTTTCCTTTTCCTCCTGTTGCTCTCACCCCTCGTCCTCTTCCCATCTCTACATAAAGTCCGTCTCCCTCTTTCTGGTCTTCTTTTATTTGAAACTTTTAAATTTTTTATTTTTAGGGATCCATGTTTGCAGTGACAATTACCTTCCTCGTGAAGAGTTAGTGCATGAACAGAGCCCATTTTTATTTCGTTTCTGTCTCCTTCCCCTTCCCTTTTACCAAAGATCTCTCTCCTGGTGTTCATTATCTACTTTTTACATTGCCAACAGATTTATTTTTTGAAGGAATGGGCTTAAGAGAAAAAAACACATGGGGCACAGAAGTATGGAATAGAAAAGAAATACAAATGTAAGCTGTTTTGCTAAAGGTTTCATAATCACAACAAACTAGTACAGAGAATGCCCTGTACACAACAACAACAACAACAAAAGGTTCAAAGATCGAGGTGTTCCCTTAGCAAGGCTGAAGATTTCAGTCTCTGTATTTGGAATTTAGGCTGCAGTCCTTGGTTTTGGGTGGATCACTGGGTATGTGGCACAGTCCATGCTTTTAACCAGATCTGAACAGAAGAATGGCCACTTGGCCCAGGTAGAAGTAGAGGAAGCGTTTGGTTGCACGTGTCACATAACTACCGAAGTTTCTTCCCGCAATGCAGTGAAAGGTGGGGTCGTCCTTCTTGTCAAAGTCCTTCTTGATGTGGGCCACAGTGTCCTTTTCTGTATTATATTTTCCCAACGCCTGAGTAGTGCACTCCACCGAATCCTGTTGCATCTCTTCTGATGTGTCCGCAGTTTTGGTCACCACCTTCTGGTCGCACAGGGTCACCGTGGAGCAGGGGTGGCTGACTGCAACACTCTCCTAGGGCAGGAGTTGACACCTCTCAGGACTGGAGGGAGATGCGTAGCTACCGAGCAGTGTCGCGTCTCCATTATCTACCTTTTAGTTTGCCCTTGAAATTATTCATATAAGAGAACTGTGCAATATTTAACCTTCTATGTCTGATTTATTTCACTTGGCATTATGATCTCGAAGTGCATCCATTTTCCTTTTTTTTTTTTTTTTTTTTTTTTTGAGACAGGGCCTTACTGTGTAATCCAGGCTGGCCTTGAACTCATTTTGTAGCCCAGGATGGCCTTGAACTCTCAAGTGAGTGATCCTCCTGCCTCAGCCACTGAGGGCTGGGATCACAGGTGTGCACCATCCGGCTCTACATTTTTTCTCCCCAGAACTGGGATGGAAACCAGCCACTAAAGCTGCCTCCCAGCCCTATCATCTACATTCAAAACAAAATCCTCTATGGATTTCTCTGCCCTGCCCTCTCTCTTCTGCATCCCAGCAAACTGCTGGAAACACATATCTTCAGGCTTCCTGCAGCAGGGCTGTTATCCACTTCCTCTGTGATTCACCCTCACCGTGTGTCAGGTACCAGGGGTCCCAAAAGTTGTCCTACAGGCTGGGAGTGGAGCCCTGGGCCTCACACGTGCTAGGCGGGAGCTCTGCCACCGAGCCAACTGGATGGCTTTTTACCTCTCGCCTTCCTGAACCTTCAGGGCCCATGCAGGACACAGCACCCACACTCTTCTGTTCTTGACACAGGAGGTCCGAGGTGGAAACTTTCAGGAGGACATCTCCGTGCTGACCTTGAGCACCACGCTATCCCCTGTGGGGGAGGCAGGAGGGGCCTGGCAATTATGCTGTGACGGCCCTCAGCTCCGGGGACAGGGCTTCTCGCTCAGGCAGGCATTCGATGCAAATGACACACATATTCATAAGAATCAAAAGGTAATTTGTATGTGTCTCATACTGTACCCTTCCTCTTCCCATCAATTTCTCTCTCTCATGAAAGGGGAAATTAAAGGCTTCGGAATATTACACCTTTTCGTAGTCACCAGGTGACTGGGAATCAGAGTGTCAAAGTTACTGACAGGCTGGCAAGTTGAACTTGAGCTCGGAATGTCCTTTATCACAGCTACAAGCCGAGCATTTTGTAACCAGGTCTCAGAGACAATAGCGAGTAATTTAGGGAGAACAGACCACGCATGGATAATTTCACCAGCACGGACACTTGGAGCTCTCTGGGGGCCCTCCCCTCCCCCCCTTCTCCCCTCCCTCTCTGTCTCCTACCATCCCCCTGCCTCCCTCTCATCCTTCCTTCTTCCTTCCTTTTTTTCTCAGGCTAGCTTCTTTCACTTAGTGTTATGGTTGGGGTCCCAATGTTTCCCCAAGGGCTCTTTGTTCTGAAGGCTTGACTGCCACGGAGAGCACTGAGCTACAACCCCAGCTCTGCTTTTTAAATTTTTAAAAATTTTAAGATGTGGTCCCAGACAGACATGGCAGAGCACACCAGTAATCTCAGCACTAGTGGGACTGACACAGGAGGACTGATGTAAGTTCGAGGCTATCCTGGGCTACCTAGTGAGTTCAGGCTGAGGCTGAACTACACAGCCAGACCCTGTCTCAAAAAGCAGACAGAAGAGACATGGTATCACTAAATTGCTCAGGTTGACCTTACACCTGATCTTAAAACTGTGATCCTCCTGCCTCAGCCTCCCCAATTCCTGGGATTATAGGTGTGCACCAATGCACCGAGCCTATGTTTCATGCCTGAGCAGCAGTTGAAATGCAGCTTTTGTAGGCTCAAAGTTCATACTATTTGGGGAAGTCTTTGTGTGTGTGAAGACAAGGTCTTACTCTGTGGCCCAGGCTGGCCTCGAACTCACCGTCATCTTTTGACCTCAGCTTCCTGAGTGCTGGGGTCATAGGAGTGTGCCACCATGCTGGCTCTGGGAGAGTCTCTTTAAAAGAATACAAAGCCAGGTGTGGTGGCACACACCTGTAATCCCAGCATTTGGGAGGCTTAGGCAGGAGGATCCCTGAACGTCCAAGGACAATGTGATGTGCCTCAAAAACAAAAAGAAAGATAAATTAGGGGTCATGTGAGTGTCCCATTCACGTGAGGGGCCTTGAGCTTACAGGTCACTAGCTTTCAGCCAGTCCCCTCCAATGCCCAGCTGGGTGTTAGAGAAGCAAGGGTGGCCCCTGCACATGAGGGAGAGAGACTGTGTCTGGTCACTGTCCTTGTCACTGGGACACAATACCCAACACCGGCAGCTTAGAGGAGAGGTTTCCTTGGCTCATGGTTTGCAGGTTTCAGCCTCCAGTGGTGTGCTCCAAGTCAGGGTCCGTGACAGCTGTGAAGACCCAGAAGCAGCGGGCAAAGGGAAAGGAGCCAGGGCTGAAGCCACGCCCTTCCGGCCACGCCCCCACCTCACAGTGCAGTCCCCTTCCTAGGGCTGAGCCTGTGCACCCACTGGGCTCTGGGGGACATTAAATCCAAACCCTAACAGGCGGAGAAGTGGCCGTGGCGAAGCAAAGGTACGGAAACTGGGATGCTCCATTGCGAGTTCCCTCGTGTGCTCCCTGGGGACTCCCGCGTTCCGGGGTACAGAGAGCAGAGCCAGTGGCAGCTCCTATGGTCACGTGGAGAGGAGGGCTGGATGACCAAGACCCATTCACCTCCACCCGGGGGTCCTCGTCTCACCCTGTGTAGGGTCACAAGAGCAGAAGAGGTGCTCTGGCTTTCTGAGTCTCCGCTTGCAGACAGCAGGCTGTGGAGCCAGGATCGCACAAGCCAGCTCCTGCAGTAAATCTGTGCTTGCGTCCGGTTGGTTCTCTTAGCCCCCAGGCTAATACTACAGGTGCGCACCAGGCGAGAAGGCAGAGCGCATGGGCCGGGGCTTCTCTCCATTAGCCACAGCGGCTCACTGCTAGCGCGTTTTGTGCGCAGAGCTTGTGAGCCAGGTTTCATTAGGAACTGAGAGCAAAGTCGGCGCTGCCCACATTAAAAAAAAAATACAACTGCTGGAAAGTGAGCCAGTGCTCACGTGCAGTCCACAAAACTGGACCTTGGCTGGGCTTCCAAGCGCCGAGGGAATTTCTGGAATTGGTGTGGTAAGCTTAAACATAGAGCTAAAGCTGTAAAATCCTTCAAAGAACAATAGGAATAAATCTGTATTTACCTTAAATTTGACAGTGGTTTTTCTTTTCTTTTCTTTTTGGTACCAGGGATCAAACTCAGGTCCTCATGCTTTCCAGGCAGGCGCTGTGCTGCTGAGCTCAGTCCCTAGCCCAGCACTTACATATTTTTCTGGGAAAAAGGCTCCATGACTTCCAACTCTTCCAAGGGCTCCAAGGGTCTCCTGGAGGTCTGGTACGCTCTACAGCGCCACCAGGCAGAGAGAGGTGCCTCTCTTCTACCTCAGTCCCACATAGGTTTGCACTGGCTGCTGTGGCTTTTCTGCGGGAAGGAAGCGAGGGATGGTTTGGGACAGGAGAAGGAACCTAAAGAGTAGGTCCTGGGCCAAGCTCCCGGATGCAGCA